TTTGAAGCGGTTTTTCGTAATTTGTCAGTAGTTTTCCCAGTGGAATTAAATAACTATTGAGAAAATCGAAAAATGACCTCTCGAAAGTACCATCTTGATCCAATTTTCTAAAAGGTAAGATACTATATGTTGAAATCGAAATACTCCTTCTGGTAGAAATTTTGTATACAGGATATAAAAAAAAAAAATAAATAAATAAACACCATCTTAAAACCACTAGCTTCCTCGCTCCGCTTAGAATCTAAAATTTTACAATTACACAATTATTTTTTATAAGTATTTTAGGTTTAAATTTTGACAAAATACATAAAAATCGTGAAAATATGTAAATTATTTCGAGTTAGAAATATATAAAAATGATTGTTTTTTTTTAAATCTAAGATTCGAAAATTTAATTCAAGATTCCTGATAAGTTTTTTGTATACCTTAATAAAAAAAAAAAAAAAAAAATGTTTATTGAAAAGTCAAATTAATTATTATGAGAGTTTAAGTTCAAATTTTTACAACATGGGACATTCACTTGATTTCTCAAGTAGCTATTTTGTTATTTTGTTGTGATTTAAATTCAAATAATAATGTAGATACTACTATTATACATTTGATCAAGTATAGGAATTAATAAAAAAATATATAATATAATAATCGTCTACAGATTTTCGTTTTTGAATTACGACAAAAAAAGTAAATCGCTACATGAGAAATCGAGTGAATATCCAATGTTGTAAAAATATATAATTTAACAAAGGTAGACAAACTAATGAAGAATCTCGTATACAATTTTAAAATCTTAGATTTAAAAAGAAAATTTTTTTTGCATTTCTAACTTAAAATAATTTTCAAATTGTCGTGATGTTTAGGTATTTTGTCAAGATTTAAACTTTAAATGCTTATAAAAAAAATTGTGACTGCATTTTTAATATATTAAAATATCATTGTAGAAATATATTAGTAAATAGTAGCCTTGTATTAAATTTTCAAGACTTTTTAGTCGAGGGCTTGAATTTAAAAAAAAAATTCCGTTTTTTGTTATTTACAATTAAAACGTTACACAATTGTTGCGTTTATCGTTATTTAGAATAAAAACGTTATTCAACTTTTGCGTTTATCATTATTCAGAATTAAAACGTTAGGTATCAAAGTTTTGCATTTATCGTTATACTGCAGAATTAAAACGTTAGCCAGTTATTGTGCTTATCGTTATTTAGAACTAAAACTTTATAAAAGTTTTGCATTTATCGTTATTTAAATTATAAATTTAAAAATAATAACTAAAGCCGGTAGGTAATGGCCCGGTGCGGAATATAATATACTTAATCAATTTGATTGATTGCATGAAATAAATAATTTTACCAAAGTACGAAAACAATAGAAATTTTAAATGAATAGATTTAAAAATATTTCGTTTTGGGTTATTTTTCGTTCATGATATTCTATAAATTACGTTTTGAGTTATTTTTTTTTTCAATAAATATCAATAAAGTCTTATCTGTTGGGCCAAAAAGTGTAAAAATGTAATACAAGGCTCCTGATATATTGTTACAATAGCAATTGAAAAATATTAAAAATACATAGGCACAATTTTTTTTATAAGCATTTAAAGATCGAAGTACCTAATGGATATTGTGATATGATTAATTTGTAATTTATTATAGGTCAACTTTTTTTAATACCATAGATACGTATATAATATGTCTTAGATACCTATACCTAACCTGACACACCGTCTCCGCTCAGAATCGTTTTTCTTATACAATGATATTATATCATTGAATACAAATTTAATACCTTCCATTTTACAGTGACCGGGGGACATGGTGAGAGCCTGCACGCGGCGTCCACTGCATAGCGATTTAATCCAGACCTGGACATGTCGCTAACTTATCAGTAATCTCACTACCACCGGGCGAATAAAAATGCTACAGTGACCCACTTGTAACCTACTGTACAGCAAAGCACCTTTTTTAAATTTTTATCGTGTATAAAAAATGGTAATATAAACAACCAGTGAACATTTCACGTAGGTATCTACTGTCATTTGTGTTTGAGTTACCTACAGCAAAAACCAAAATCGATTTTTTCAAAAATCGATATTGCGTAAAATTTACCGTTTTTCCATGATTTTTATTTTGTTTTCTCCGGCTCTTTAGAAAACTATTGCGAATTTTAAATTTTACTTCCTAAATGCACCAACTAGATTCACTTTCCCATCGAACAAGATACTGTTGAATAAAATCGAAGATTTGAAAATGTATTATACACGATTCCTTAGGTATAAGGTTATCTAATATCTACCTTTATAAAAATAAGTCTATAAGAAAGTCGAGCTAAATTTTTTGAGCGTTTGAAGTTCAAATTTATACAACATTAGATTCAACCGATTTCTCAAGTAGCAATGTTCCTATTTTGTTGTACCTAACTCAAAAACGAATAACCGTTGACTCTTGAAATTTATATCATATTTTTGTTTTATTTTGAACTGTTTTTGACATTTTCAATAAAAAATATTAAAAATTCACATTTTTTTTTTGTATAATCATTTAAAATTTGATTTTTACAAGATTTATCAAATTTTAATGATTTTGTATTTAAAAATGTATAAAATGTTCAATTTTTATAGCTAAGGATTGAAGATTCAAAACAAGGTTCCACCTTCCACGTAGGATTGTAGGAAGTAGGATATTGTGTAACCAAAAAATCCCCAAAATATTATAACACAGTTTTTTATATTCTGAGTGGAACGATGTGTTTTTTACTTTTAATTTTTGTGTCTGTCATCACGGTTATTAGGGCAGTAAAACTGCTTTGATTTTCTTCAACAGAATATTGTTCGATAGGAAAGTGAATCTTTTTTGTGCGTGCGGGAGGTCAAATTTTAAAATTCCCAAAAGTTTTCCAAAGCGTCAGGAAAAACAATATAAAAATTAAGGAAAAACTGGTATTTTTATGCAAAATCGATTTTGGTTTTTGGTGTAACTCTAAGACAAATGAACGTATTTACATACATATACATGAAATTGTCACTGGTGGTTTATATTTGCATTTTCTATACAAGATAAAATTTTCAAAATATTTTGAAAACTGTTTAGGAAAATTTTCTGTTTCCAATTTTATTAGTCTTTTAGATTCTGAGTGGAAAGATGAATGTATTGATTTTACAATGATTTGTGTTTTTTTTATATTTAGTTTTATTTTTGTCTATCTTCTTTTTAGGACAGTAAAAATGCTTGGATTTTCTTCTAAAGTAACTTGTCTGTTAGGAAAGTGAATCTAGTTGGCACTTTGGGGGGGGGGGGGGGGGGTCAAAAGTAAAAACTTCCCAGTAGTTTTCAAAAGCACCGTGAAAAACAGGAAATTTTAAGGTAAAATTTGTTTTCAAGAAAATCAATTTTGGTTTTTGGTGCAATTCTAAGACAAATGACTGTAGGTAGTAGGTACATGCAATTTTAACTTTTACAATTTTAACTACAATTTTAACCCCAACTTCCATATTTTGATTGCACCACCATTCTCGGTCAAATACTACATTAATAAGAAAATAAAATTTTTAAAAAATGTGTCAAGTAAGGAAGACCTAATCTATATAATTATAACATAATGACAAGATAAGTGATAACTGATAAGTAATGAGGGATGCTATCTATAACCTATCAATAATAATTGACAATTTATTATAATTTATAGGGTCTTCATTTATGTAGACCAAACCATCTTTAAAAAACATTTAAAATGCTGTTATTTTTTTGTTGTTATTAAAATTTAAAGTGGGTTTTTTCCAACCCTGCCTATAATACAATTATACCAATTATAGTTTATACCAATTATATATTCCTTCTGTGGTGTATAAACACTAAAAATCTACATATGTATCATAATTGTTTTTACTTTTTATAGATTTCAATCAAATAATATTGAAAATTTAATATTTATAGTTTTCCATAGTTTTTTAAAAAAAGACTAAAAAGTAAATATAAAACTTAAAGTTTTTCTATTTTTTAACTGAAGAATCGGGTTGACTGCCATGAACCCCTTTTTGGGCTCTCGCTAGTTCACTCCCGTACGCCAAGGGGTTTTTTCATAGGTTTAATTGGAAACAATTTTGATGATTTAAACAAAAATAATTGATAAAAAAAAAACTAATAATGTTATTGCAAGGCTGTTATACCATCAGAAAGTGGCAATACTCTACATTTTAAATCCGACAAGAAAATACTGATTATTGTGACTCTTAAACTAGCTCTCGCTGAAAATCGATTTCAGTGAGACTAAGGCTCTACATATAATGGGTATGCTATGCCACCATTTTAAGAATTATTTATCAATGATAAAATGAGAAAATAAAGGGGGAGAAATTCATATTCACATAAGATTTTAAGTAGCAAAATGGCGGAGTAGAATACCTGTATCTATAGTGCCCTAGTGAGACCATTCTTAATTGTCAATCCTAGTAATATTTTTGAGAACCCAAATAGATTCTCAAAATCAATTTTAAATAACTTGAAAAAAAACCCTTGGCGGTCAACCTGATATACAATATAACTCAATAGTAATATTTATCATTTAAATAGAATTATAAATTATATTTATATTATAGTTATTATTATTATAAATATATTATAATGGAATAAAATTAATAAAAAAAGTTTAAATTAAATTACTAATATTCTAAAAAATATGTTATGTTCGGGTGCAAAGCCGTGGTTTTTATCAACATTTTTATTCAAATACTATAGAAATTATAAGTAAATTAAAAAATCTATTTTAGTTTTTTTAAAACTAATTTTAGTTCTTATTAACAAATATATTTGACATCATAGAAAAGTACAAAAAATATATACAAAAATTAAAATGTTATATGAATATTATACATTCTTGAACAAATTAACTTGGTTTGTTAAATGGTAAGTGACATACTAACATGTTCTTTGACTGATGATTTGATGAATAAAACTGTGTTATTTTTTTCTTAGATATTTCCAATTCACATATAATATAGCATATATTCAAGTTTTAATCAAATCAAAATTTTCCAAAGCTACCAGCATGTCCTAAAAACGACAATATTCAAGTTAATTATACATCATACATTTTATATTTTTCTTTTCAAAATGTATCAATATATTCTTACATTATAAAAGAATTATTAACATAATTTTGATGAAATCAAATTATTAGATAGAGAAATTCAGTTTAACGCTATTAATTATGAGTTAAGAACTATAAAATAGTTTTTATTAAAACTCACTTCTTCACATTGAGGACACTTGCCTTGCAAATGTTCAAACATTGGTGTACTACCAGAATTCAGCAACCACTAAAATACAAATCATTAAATATTATCATATTTTGCTCACTGTTTTTACCTATTAAAATTAAATAATTAGCATCAAACAATACCTCACAAATACATGACATATGATATAATGCATCACATTTTTCATTAACACACGATTTGGTTTGGTTTTTTATAGCCATATCTAATTGATCATAACATATACAACAACAATTCAAATCATTTTGACTTGAAATATAATGTTCTGGTTTCTCTTCTTCATATTGTGACTGAAGAGTAGGAACTTCAAATATATTCAGAATATTTTCTTTAAAACTGTTTTCGGAACTCCAAATCAAAATCTATACATAAATAGTAAATGTACAACAATTATGTTTATTGGTAGACATACTTATGTAGTTATGTATATGAGAAAAATGAAATATTTTTGTGATTTTTTTACATAAGAAATTTCAGAATAATATTTATAATTTGTATTATTACCCATAAAGTTGTATCAATTGTTTATAATTAATATAAATTATATATTATAATATATATTGCGGTAAATGTACGAATACTGGTGAAACCTAGGATTAACAGCTAAATGTCCCAATTTACAATTTAGTAATTCTTAGGTTAAACAATCAGAGCTTGTAAAAGTCTTAAAATGTTAACTGATTGTGTGATATTCTCCTATATAATTACAATACTATACGCAAACTTAAAAAAATAAAAAAACAATTTAAATATATTAAATATTATATTAGCTACTTCTAGTATATTAGAGTATACATACATTTACAAGGCTGGGTATCAACGAGTTAAAAAGTTAAAATTAAGTTATTTTTAACTAAGTTACATAATAAATTACTTTATTTTTAGAAGTAACTACTAACTTAATTTGTTAAATTTTTTTTTCATGTTATGAAGTAACTTATGAGATAAATAATTGTATTTTCACATTAAATCATTTTTTCCCCCAACACCACAGATTTAAAATAGTATATTCTATTTTGTAAAAACTAATTTTATACATAAACATACATAAAAAAAATAATAATAATTAGAAATGTCAATTATTATTTCTAAATATCAATATTATACATAATATTTTACAATAATGGTTATAATTAGGGGCCGGAATTATATTCTTTTAAAATAGCCAATATAAGATCCTAATATTCTCTTGAACTAAAAATATGCATTTATATGCAAAATAATTAAACACAACACAAAAAAAACTGATATAAATAGATAAATAATACGCAAAATAAATGAGAAAATAATACAAACTGATATAAATAGATACATAATATGCAAAATAATTAAGGAAATGATACAAAAACCTGATATAAATAGGTACATAATAAAAAATACTACATGTTAAGAAAAGTTTGATTAAATTATTAATAATAATATTTAATATTCAATTATTAAAAATTTTTAACTAAGAACATTTTTGAAAACTACAGTTGACAACTATATTTTGTTCCATGTGCTCTGGAGTCTGGTATCATATTTGTACGACGGCTAAATGTTTTTATATATGCTAATTTATATTATTTACGCCACTGCAATAAAAAATATTGAATATCTATAAAAATGAATCGATATATTCTCTAATATTCTTTATTATACTAAATATTTTATCTTAAAATATTCCTAAATATGCAAAAAAACTTTTGCCATTAACTCACCTATTTCATGATTTGTAGGGATTTCAAACCCCCGTCTGACTGCATGGACTCAAAAAAAATATGCAAAAGAATATAATTCCACCCACTAGTTATAATATTGAATGTTCACAAGATATATTAAATTTATTAAAAGTTCTAGCGGTAACCGTATCATTGAGAAAAGAAAAATTATAACATTTACTCAGTGTCACATGCACATTTGTCTACCTTAACCCTAAATCATTATTAATTATTAGTTATTGTTATATTTTTATCCGTGCATAGAATCACAACTGAATTGAATAATATTTGATATATTATGTGTGTAGGTGATTAATCGTATTCTAATAATTTATTTGCTTAACATAATTTAGTATAGTTGTGGACCGTTGGGTAAACAAATACATACTAATAATCTAACTATTTTGTTGGATTTCATCATTGATTAAAGTACCCACAGCAATAAATCTCAATACATACATGTATTTAAAACTATAAGACCACTATTAAATTACAACGTTATTAGGTGAAAAAAAAGTAACTGATTATTAACTAAGTTAATTTCTTTTTTTTATAAGCTTAAAAAAAATTGTCCAGCCTTGTAAATTTATACTATTATATATTACTAAAAAACATTTTATTTGTGAAGGGTAATACATTGTGGTTTTAAGAGACATTTTTGGATCGGTATTTACATAAATGTTTATTATTTGTTCTATTACTGAACATATGTAATAAGTATATAATATTATATAAGTATATAAATATCATACACTAAAGTGGATAAGAATACTATCAGAAGTATTACCAAGTATAAAAAATACTAAAATAAATCAGTTTTCATAAAAAAAACCATTTTAGGTTAAACTAATTAAGTTCAAAAAATATTGTACCAACTGGATTGATTTCATTTAATCTTTTTTGAAACTTCTCCATAGAAGCTGGGCGACCATGAAGATGAAATTTAGGACAGTTCAAAGGATTCAATGGATCAACTTCAACTTCAACACATACATGAATATCTGAAACAAAATGTAGATTTTAATCATAATATTACGGTATTTCTGAGATGAAGAGTATTAAACTAATGTTAGGGTTAGGATTTATATGCTTAAAAAAATATAAAAATGCTGATATGCTGACAAAATGACAAAATATGCTTAAAAATATTGTGTTGTGTATTTGTTATACAAAAAATTTAAACACACAATTTATAGAAAAACGCAAACTATAAGCTTATAAAATAATATGGTCACGTTAGTCAAAAGATGATAACATTAAACAAAATTGAACATTTCCGTTAAAAAAGAAAACATAAAATAAATTCAGGTATTAGAAAATTTTACAAATAAACTCAATAATATCATATAAAAGATTTTGAAATACCAAATTATAATAGCATATTTTAATCTAAGTAAGTGAAACCAATTTCTATCTCACTTAGCTAGGTATATTTTGGACTTACCAAATAAAATGCTACACATCCTAACCCTACACATTACCAATCAATTATACCATGATCTGACAATATTTATAAATAAAAACAATTATTCTCACTTACCAATAGGTATTCTATAATTAACATCTCTAAAAGTATAAGATCCTATAGTATTACAAGTGCTAATAATTTCGTTGTGCACATTCCAAAAATTGTTCAATTCATTAACAACATTCTTAAACGTTTCAAATAAGTTTAAAATAGTGTTCATCTAAACAAAAAAATATTTTTATGTACTTAATAAGTTATGTAAAAACCATTTAGAAGCAGAAATTGGGAGACAACTTATAATATTTGCATATAAAAACTGCACACTCATGATTTCAAATCCCAAACAGCCAAATACTATTTTTAATATACATCTGACAAACATCAAAAACTTTTACCAAGTTTCCCAAAAAGTTTTGCAGAGTACCTACTAGAGTCAATACATTTTATAAATAATAATCATATTATTATACAAAACAATAGAAACATAAAAAAATGAATAAATATTTAAGTAATAATAAAGTGTGCAGTTTTTGTATATGAACCTAGTATTTTCCAGTATTTCATCCAAAGTGAGCAGTTTTTAGATTCAACAATTCACAGGAATTGTGAATTGTTATAGCAGGACAATATTTTTTTTAATGGTTTTATTTATGTCTTATGATTGGATCACACAAAAATGATTACTGAATGTCCGCAAATATATTCATTATAAATTAAATATTTACCTTCAAAAACAAGTTCAAGCTTACTGATGGAACCATAGTTTCAAAACATAATGGTTGTTTTTTAACCATGGGATATTCATCAGGTATAAAAATTTTTATAAAATGGCTGTGCTTACACATATCTAAAACATTAAAAGTTATGTGTTTTAGGTTTTCGTCAATTGTATGCACATATTGACCATATAAATTGACTTCTTGAATTACAGATTGGAACTTTTCATCATCAAATACATAACTCAAATTTGGCAAGTTTATAGAAGTATCTTGTTTATAAACTTTTACCTAAACAACAAAAATAATTAATATCAAGCCATTTGAGAATTTAGTAATTTTCCAAAAACCATAAGTTCATTGAAAATAGTTAGCTCATTTGAATTTAACATGTGACATAAAATTTATATTCTTTAATCAATTTGTAATATCCTAATTTTCCAAAAAGTCAAACAGTTTTATGATAAAAAAAAACATGCTTTAAATGGGCTTCTTCCTTGTAAAGAGTCTAAGCTACCTATTAAAAGATTTATGTACAGCCACAAACAGTGAACAACAATTTAAATAAACAATATGTTTTGGTATATTCTGTAGTATTTACACAATTTTCAAGTATTTAGAACTTTACTCTATTCACGTTTAGAATATAGAAAGAACCTTGGCGGCCAACTATAGCACATGAGCATGGTTTTACTACACAGTTGAAGGTGTATAAATGATTGACTTGGTAAAGGTGACAAACAAATGTTTCCTGGTTGATGCCAGGAGGAAACTTTTTGCCTTCTTCTTAACGTGCATAAAGTAAATAATAAATATTATATCATAAATTATTAAACAAAATATATAATATTACCTACCAAAACTGGAATTAATTCCTTTAAAAACTCTGCCAATGAATGTGTTTTTTGTTTAACCTATAAACAAAAAAACATGTTAAATTGTTAAGTAAATAATAACATAGAATTTTGAGTACAAAACATATTACACAGTAGAAATCAACTCTAAGGACAAGCAAGTTTTTATACTTAGTCAATAACATTTATTTAGGAAATATTATTGGGTAATATTATATATTAAATTACAAACAATAATTTTCATATTCAATAACAAAAAAAAGATAAGCGTAATTTGTATACTATTGTCATAGAACAATATAGAAGCGAAACTCAACTTGTTAATTAAATTTTGAGAAAAATTAGTTTTTAATTTTTTTAATGGATTATGAGTTTAAAATATATCAATCATAATTTATGAGGTTCTATTGTATATTATATAGACAAATAGATGAAGTATTGTACAATTACCGAATAATGGCGGAGGATTGGAGGATTTGGGTGGCCGTGTATCCATGCATTTTTTTAGGACTACATCACTGATACATTTATATAGTTATACACATCCATATCCACAAAATAAAAGATAACGATTTGCTCTTAGTAATCGATAGGTATTCAGTTGTTTCTCAGTGTAAATGGATATTTTAATGTACGGTTATATGGTCTAGTCTTTATACTCGTCTTAAGCTATATCTATCTTGTAACCACTGCTCTTTGTGATTTCTACTTTATGTGTAAGTTATAAATTTATCACTATTATACTTCTACAGATAGACAACAATATTAGTATGACTCACTATTTCTACTGTTTCCTTCAAATCAAATTGATAGAAGTTGAAGGCTTCAAGTTCTGGAATTTGAACTTTTAAATCGTCTAGTAGTGGTATATTAGGGCAAGACATTTCTATGTAAACACTATACGCCTGTAAGTATATAAAATATTTCACATTCAAAAAACATTATAACAATCATTGATTCATGCATCGTCAAATATATATATATACATTAACTTACATTTAACAATATATGTCCTTTCCAAGATTTACAATTTTTGCTTGGAATTAACATTGGAAAGTTCTCCCACATACTTAGATCAATCATATTGAATTGTACTGATGTACAAATTAAATTATATTTGTATAAATTCTTCGTATTTCTAGTCAGCAGATAGTAATGGTGATAAATTAACGTAACCTTATATCATATTATTCAACACTGAACATCGAACATGGGTAAATTATAGTACATTATTTTATAGTTTACACCATGACAAATAAGTTAATAAGTTAATAAGTTTACACCACGACTAACGTGTTTACCATGGTTGAAATCATAGAATATAAGACGTATAATATAAAAATATTAAAATATACGTTGAAATATACGGGTTATTGGCTATTGCCACAGACTTCACAATACTACACGAAATCTGTGGTTATTGCATGTCGACTCGGATTGTTATCAATCGGAAACAGAATGGCTGTGATATCACAAATTACAAATATCATTTTTTCTTATCATGAAAAATACGCTCGTATAAAATTCGAACTTGTCACTTGTAGTTTGTACAGTGTTGTACTTTGAAATTTGTAGACCGTTTGAAAGTTGAAATTTATTATTATTCATTACAGTACAACGAAATAGTAAATACACTAAAGACACGCTTAAAACTAAATTATTCTTTATTACTATAATATAATACAATTTTTACTCAAGTCATTATTATTATTATTATTATAGGTACGTGATATTTTTGTTTATTAATGAAGTTGATTGAAAGTTGTTAGGATAATTTGACTATTTGAGGTATCATTTATTACTTTTGATAGTTTTTAGATTCTGAGTGAAACAATGAATGTATTGATTTTACAATGGTGGGTGTTTTTTTTTAAATTTTTAAATTTTTTTTTGTGTCTGTCATCACAGTTTAGGGAAGGAAAACTGCTTCGATTTTCTTAAACAGTATGTTGTTCGAAGGGAAAGTGAAACTAGTTAGTGCATTCAGGAGGTTAAATTTTAAAATTCCCAATAGTTTTCACAAGCGCCGGGAAAAACAACATAATAATTAAGGAAAACAGGGAATTTTTACGCAAAATCGGGTTTCCACAAAATCGATTTTGGTTTTTGGTGCAACTCTTAAACAAATGACCGAAGGTACATGAAATTTTGACTGAATGTTTGTATTAGCATTTTCTATAAACGATAACATTTTTAAAATGTTTTTATTTATTTTGAATAGGCACATTTTCATTTTCCATTTTTTTTTAGTTTTCTTTTCTAAAAATTTCAATAAAATGTTATTTGTTGGTTAAAAAAGCTTGAAAATTTAATACAAGGCTCCTACTATATTGTTACAATGGCATTTGATAAATATTAAAAATCCTTAGTCACAGTTTTTTTTTAATAAGCATTTAAAGTTTAAAAATTGATAAAATATGGAAAACTCACGAAAATTAGCAAATTACTTTGAGTTAAGAATTCGTATAAATTTTTCTTTTTAAATCTAAGGTTTTAAAATGTAATACAAGATTCCTTATAACTTATAAGATTATCTACCTTTATCAAAAAAAAAAATGTCTATAAGAAAGTCAAATTAAATTTTTATGAGCGTTTGAAATTAAAATTTTTACAACATTGGATATTCACTCGATTTCTATTGTAGCGATTTCCTTATTTTGTTGTAATTTCAAAACGAATGACTGTAGATACATGAAAACTTCACTGAATGTTTATATTAACATTTCCTATACACCATACAATTTTGAAAATATTTTGACTATTTTTGAGCTGTTTACAGACATTTACAGCTTTCAATTTTTTTTGGTTTTTTTTTTCTATAAATATCAATAATTTTTTATCTTTTGGGCCAAAAAGTGTATAAATTTAATACAAGGATCCTGATATATTGTTACAATATCAGTTGAAAAATATTAAAAATACATATTCATAATTTTTTTTATAAGCATTTAAATATCGAATTTTGACAAAATGTATCAAATTGAAAATTGAATAATTATTTTGTAGTTAAAAATGTATAAAATGTTCAACTTTTATATCTAAGGATTGAAAATTTAAAACAAGATTCCACGTAAGTAGTTAATTCTGTTACCAAAAAATCTAAAAAATACATAAGCACAGTTTATTTTAATAGAGATTTGTATTAAGTTCAAATTTGGACGAAATTACATCAAAAAAACCTAGAATAACTATTTTAGTTATTTTGTTGTGATTGTATAATATTATTCGTGGGTACTTGAAACTTCTAAAGTACACTATTATATATCTGTGATAGTATCAGGGTTTGTTGTTGATGGATAACGGGTTATAACTTATAAGTATCTAATGGATATTGTGGTATGATTAATTTGGAATTTATTATAGGTACCCATTATAGCTTAATTTTTTTTAAAACCATATAGATAAATATATAATATGTCTTATACCTAGACTGACATACCGTCCCCGCTCAGAAACGTTTTTTTATACAATGATATATCTGTAGTTAATAAGTATTGCTTATGCAATAAGCATTATTGTAAGGTATTTCATGAGTATTGTGGATGTATTTAATGATTATTGTGTACATGTTTAATGATTATTGTGTATGTATTTAATTAGTATTGTGTAATAATAAAAACATATCAACTAGAACTTAATAATTAATCTATCATTCCTGAAGCTCCCGAGTTACAGTTAAAATATAATTCATAGGGCTCTGAAAACCCTAACTGAATTATTTAAATATAACAGGTTCCCCAACCCCGTTATACTTGCTTTATAATATTTTACAGATATTAATAGCATAATAGTATAATATATTCACATAACCGTATAATTATAAATGTTTTAGAGTTCATACTTGACTAACACCTTTCCTTTGTGAAACAAGCGGAGACGGTAGCAAAGAAAACGCCCACGTCGGCGATAGCCCTTTCAAAGCTACTTTCAAGAACACTCCAGAGTACATAGTGCTCATGATTCGATCATAACTGTCAGACAGGGAGTTGTTCGTAGGAGAGCAAATGACATCGAAGACTGTGACGTGCGGGGTCCCCCAGGGCTCAGTTCTTGGTACGACCCTGTGGAATGTTGCATACGACTACCTACTGGACATGGAAGTTCCCCAGGGTGTTCAGCTGGTTGACTTCGCAGACGATCTCGCAGTCACTGTAATAAGATGATAGTTAAACAACAAGTGATAAAAGTTTAAAAACAACGATAAACAACGATCAGTCACTGATCATCAGTGATCTACGATAACTATAGTAATTTTAACTATTTTCCCGTGAAATAGGTATATATATATATTTTTTTAAAGGCAATTATGGATAAGTTGTTGATTGGTGTTCAATGACGGTTAGTGATTATTGACATAACCCATACGTTTGTTTATTATAAGAAATATATATGTAATGTATGGACAATAAAACCATTAAATATCGTTCGGGTTAGTTTGTTTTTATATACAATTAATTTTTAGACTTATTAATTTAATTTGGTTTACAATATGTTTTTAGTCGAGTCAAGTTGAGGGAGAAGCCAGGAGCAGTTTGGGCAGAGGTATGTTTGCTAGCGATATCTATAATAAATTCTGCGATGAAAAATAATATAAGCCCATTAGAACTATTATTCGTTTTTAATTTTCAGAGTAGACATTTTGAGCTCTCCGAAAGCACAAAATAGTAATTTGATAACAAATATCGAAGTACATCAATAATATGTGTTATATCACCAGTCAACCACGTTAAATGAAATCGGGTTTGTGTATAATACGTCCCATTTTATTCGTGACATTTCTGTTTTTTGGCACTTTGTTCTGTTGTCCTAGGGGTATTTTTTATAACATTAATTAATTCCATCATTTTCAGAATGTAGGCTAAAAAACAACAAAAATAATTTTTTTATAGTCAAATAATTACATATTATGTTATATTCTACTGTATATTTTGAGTTTTGAGTTTTTTTATGACTTAAACTTTTTAGTATTAACCGATTGACACAGCGAAATTGATAAAGTTTACTTCGTAATCGATTATTTATTTTATCTTTGTATAAATTATCATTAAGTGTACTTACAATTTAGTTTTAATTTTTCTACTTGACAACATATTATTTTATGAATTTTTTTAAATTTTTGCTTCTATATGCAATAAATTTTGAATTTTAAAAAAAATATGCAAAAATCTACAATAACATTTAAAAATGAAAAATATGCAAAAAAAATTTCACCATTAGTTTCAAATTATGATGGTTCGTGGAGATAACTGAAAAAAATCCAAAAATATGAAAAGTTGCGCCCAAAACAAAATTTGTGTTTTAGTATCAGTATACCAATTGCACTGCAAATTTTAGGTCAGTATAGGTACCAAATATTAACAAGCAAATTGTTGCTAATTCAAAAAAAAGAAAATAAAAGGCCAAATAACAACACGACCACTGAAATTAATTCAAAACGAGTGCAATCAAGTACAGTTGATTTAACGTTGAACGATGTGAATTCTATAAGAAGAGTGTTTATGGAATAATTAAATATAGTGTGTTTAAAGTATACTAGGTTTAATTAAGAATAATATTAAAATAGTAATTTATCAAATTGTAATTATATAATATTATGTATTATTAGGTATGGATTTATAATGTGCTAACTGTATACAATCTTTTGATTTATAAATAAATAAATAACTTATTTATTACGAAAATATTTTATAATAATATGTTCTTGAGAATTGTACATTTGTGATTTGCATCTATTTCAATATAATAAGATAATATTATTATCATATTACTTATTAGTTATTAGTTATTAGTATTTATTAATTATTATTATTATAATATATATGCCACATATGCCACAGTATGATGTGGTATATCTTTATACCTTCATACGATACACCTATACATTATAATATAATATATACTTAAATGGCTATTTCTATAATGTGTATTTACTATTTAATTAAGTTTTTTTTCTTGAAGAATACTGGTTAATTGAACAAAAAATTAACTTAACTATACTTCTAATTTCCTTTTCTACTATTCTAGTAAATATACCTAGGGTAGTAAGTATACCTAGAATCTTATGGAATAAAGGTAGGTACTCG